GCAATTTAGCACTTAACAAGTAGGAATCAAATTTTATATGTTGCTTTCCCCAGGTCTACTGTACTGTGCTGTACCACCTGAGAAAGCAATCCCAGAATTTTGTCATGATATAGTTCCAAATAGGGAGGTGTCCTTATTGAAATAGCATAGATCATTGATTCCTAAACTCTGACAGATTGCACACCACCAATTTAAAACAATACAATCTTATGTATCGCCACCAAATTTTTCAGTTCAACCTTAAGTATCACTAGCAAATTTTTGTTATATAAAGTAATTATAATAAATCTGTTAATGCACACCACTGACAGGTTGTCTGCATACCACTGGTGGTACCCGTACCACAGATTGGGAACCGCTGACATAGATTGTTATATAAATAGTCCATTTGTAACATCTAACGAGTAGGTTGCAGCCTATGAAAGCTCAGGCCTCAGAATCAGTTAGTCTGTAAATTGTCATCCTGCCCTGCTTTCTGCCTAACATAGGTAAATTATTATATTTAGTTAGCTAATAAAATCTCCATTCTACCAAAAGAAAAAAAAAATCCTGACCTGTTTAGGTTGAAGTATTATGGTCAGGATGCAGTCTTTTATTCTCCAAATGCTGAAGAAGGGTATATAGAAATTTAATTTGTCTAGGCATGGACAGATTCAGATAATTGAGTGTTTTGGTAGTGATTTACTGGTGACCTGCTTTTTAAAATGCTAACAAAGTACAAAGATTATCAGATAAACATATTGATGTTTAAGACTGACAAAATCTGCCTGAAGTCTGGGGATAAGCAAAGTGAATTTGTCCTTCATGGTGTCTTCAAAACTTTGTTTTAAAATAACTACCTTTTAGTGACTTTGGCATCATAGTGACTTCCCCCTCTCCCCCTTTTATCAGATTTATAGCATTAGGACTACGATACTATGAAGTGGCAGCTGGGTGTTGAGAGAACTTCTATTACAAAAATAGAGAAGAGAATTTAGAAAGCTACTGATAGTAAACTGAACATTACATAAAATATCTCTTCACTTAGGATGAGAGTTCCCTCTAAAATGTGATTGACCTTTTTTAGGGCAGAATGCAAAAAAGTATCTTTGCATCATGTCTTACAATAGAGTTGGGAACCTAAGAAAATAAAACTTGAATCTTGCATTGTATACCCTTCTAGGACTCCACTGTGATTAAGAATAGTAAAGCAGTAGTTTAATTTATGTTTCAGAAACAAAATTTATAAGTCCAGACTCCTGAATGTTATTTTTGATATTTGCATGAAGGAGTGACTCTAACTGGAGTTTTTTCTTCTTTTTGGTCACTCTGAAGCTACATTTTTTATTAAGTCATCTGATGGAGAGTCAAAGGAGTTGGGGGAAAAACATTTCCCACCCTTAGCCCAGTTTTGATAATAAACAAACTTTAAAAGTGTAAGTGATGCCTCTAGCAATGACAGATATCTTTCTTTTGTGCTTTTGAGTCTGGTTTTGGTTTTTGTGGCTTTTTTTATTTCTGTGCCTATTGGCATACACAAACCAATGACTGTTTCAGGATATTCTTCCCATCAGGAAGTTACCATTTGTCACAATTAAGCACATGGTGGCAAATACTGTACTAGTTTCACTTTTATACTTGGGGTACTGCACAAGGGAACTTTTGCAATTAAGTAAGTATTTTATGCTTTATTTGCTTCTGGAGTACCAACATTTCAGCTCACACTTCTGAAAGAATGAAAAGCTAACCTGGCTTTCAGCAGCCATCAGTATGCCAAGTACTGACTTTGTGTGACAGGGGCATGTGAAGACATTTCTGGTAGGGATGTGCGAAATGGGCCGTATTCAATTTGGATTTGGCCCATATTGGGGGACAGTGATTCAATTAGTTGATTCGGATCACTGTCCCCAATTCGATTCGGCCAAATCCAAATCTAAAGATTCAGTGCTGATTTGGAGAATCAGTGATTCGGCCATAGACAGCTTTAAATGTTTTTTCTACATACCCCAAGGTACCAGGCACGGCTTGTGAGCGCTGTGATGATGGGGCAGATAGAGCGTCTCACAGAAGTGCAGGTGGAGCCCCCTGCATGCCTGGCAGCAAACCCAGAAGTGGACTGGAAGTACTTTCGGTTCACTTCTGGGTCCGCCGGGAGTGTGCTGGAGGGCCCTGGCTTGGCGATTGGGGTGCGGGTGGATCCCAGGTGCCCCCCTAGACCCAGGCCAGTTGCTGAGCCAGTGTGGCCCCCCACATGCTCTCCGTTAGACCCGGAAGTGGATTGGAAGCGTTTCTAGTCCACTTCTGGGTCTGCTGCCAGGTGTGCTGTGGAGCCCCCTGTGCTCCTGTGGAATTCTCCATCTGCCCCAGCATTGCAGCAATCATGAGCTGCCTGGTACCTTGAGGTATGTAGAAAAAAGATTTAAAGCTATGTCAATGTCTGAATCACCGAGTCTTTCCAGATCTCTCCGAATTGATTCGGAGGCTTCTGATTTGATTTGGAGAGATTAAAGGATCTCCTGATTCGATTCGGATTCGGGCACCGAATTGGGCTGAATCCCTGCTGAATCGAATCGGGGACCAAAGCTTCTCACGGCCCTAATTTCTGGTAATGACTTATGACCTTAGATTGTATATAAAAATATATCTAGAGATGAGCTTAAATACTTTCCTTCTGGATGTACCTAGGATAGGTGGGGTAGCACCTGCCAGCAGGTGTATAGAGAATGAATTTTCTACAGAGAAATTCTGTCTGATCTTTGCTCATTTGTCAGGCACCACATTTGCTTGTATAAGGATTTTATGTTTCGGTACCTAAAACTGAGAATAATCATTCCAAATACAGTCGTTGGCTAACTTTGTTTTGTAAAATGTTTGTTAGGACTTTCGCGTTGGCTGCCACATTAAGTTATCAATTTGTTTTCGTTTCTAGTTAAAAGTATATAGGATGATATTATTATTCATTATCAGAGATCCTGGTTTTCTCTGATTAAAAATTGCAAATTCTCTGGTTAGAAACCCAAAATCCATGATTAAAAATTAAAGGCCCACCCAAAGCCCCTCCCAGTGCTGCTGGTGCCCCACACTCCCCACAGTCTCAACAGCCCTCCTGATGCCCCCCGCAACAGCCCCCCAGACCGGACCCACTGACACTGACACCCACCCCAGCAGGTAAAGTGTGTGTGGGGGGGAAGGGGCAGGGCAGGGCAGGGTGGGGGAAAGGGAAGGTGCTAGATCAAGAAGGGGGTAGATCAAGAAGTGGGGGAGTGTGCCCCTGTGCCCACTTCCAGGAGCAGGGCTGGGGGGGTGAGGGCAGGGGTGCCACTGTGGGCCACACACATTCCGGCCGACCTGACGGGAGGTTTGCACACAGAGGCAGTCACCGCAACTCTGCCACTGCACCTGCACTACCATCCCACAGCCACCTGAATGGCTTTGTGGGCAAGTAACACAGGGCGCGGCAGCAGCAGTGTCCTCTGTAATCTTTCTCTTCTGTTCTAATACTAAGGGAAATGGGAATGCCCCCCCTCATCTCGAGTAACTTTGTGTTGACGTTACTGAAGTGTGGTCTGTAGTTTATGATATCACTATAATTTATCATCAGGGTTGTGCGCCTGTTTCTTTCTTTAAGAAGGGAGAAGGCTCTAGAGAAGGGGAGTTAGCAGGGAGGGGAAAGGGGTAGGGCTTAACTGGGAGATAAGCCCAAGGCCAGAGCTGGGCCAGGCAGTCTAACCCTGGCTGCTGAGATAGGAGCTCCTGGGCAAGCAGCAGGCAGTGGGAGATTCTACTTTCAGGATTAGAGCTGAGTAGTTTAGGGATTGAAGGCCCGGGAGCAGGCCAGAGGCCTGGGAGGAAGGCTAGAGGCCGGGGTCCCAGGGATTGGGACCCAAGAAGCTGAGCAGCAGGACCAGAGAGCCTGAGGCACTGAGATGCCCAGGGGAGACAAGTATGGGTAAGGAGCAAAGGACACCGAAAGAGACAGAGGCCTTAGACACAGGTTGCCTAAAGTGACAGACTTAACAGACATGACATAGGGATCCAGGGTGCTGGGATGCCCCATGGGGAAGGACACTTACTGGACTGATATCACGGCCACCCTTGAGACCAGGGATGCTACCAGAACACAAGCATCTTTGGCTTGGAAGCTGCTAAGAAAAGAGGGATTGTTCTAGTTTTGCATCTATATCCTCTCATCCCTCCTGACTTAGCTACCTAATATGACTCAGGCAGGTACTGCTGTTTTGCTAGATTCAGTCTCTGGCTCTCCCTTTCTGCAGTTTATTTAAAAGCTGTCTAGATTAGGGAGAGTCTCTCTGGATATAAATGCCTCTGTGTGGTAGTGTTCCCTGATCAGATTTTTTTTCTTTTTTAAACTGTATCTTGTTTACCATATATTGTCAGTGCTGGCTAGCCCTAGATATTGGAGAGCATGGAGTCTAACATCTTAGATGCCATCCCTGGTTTTGTTTCTACAGCTTTATATTAAAGACCAAGAAATCTGTTCTTGGCATGATTAGGAATGAAATGCAACCCATTGGATTTCACCAGCTCATAAGTGTCTCTTGGGTTTATCTTTTATTGTTTCTTTTCATAAAATCAAAGAAGCCTTCAGTTTCTGAAAGCCAGCCTCATTGGCCTGGTAAATCATGCAAACAATGTAAAATCTTCAGGGAAAGGGCTGTCTTTTATCTTTGTTTTGTATACTGCAGTGGTGCTCAAACTTTTTCCCCGGCAGGCCAGATGAGCAGCTCCCAGTCCATCTGTGGGCTGGATTCTGCCAGTGCTCCAAATCTAGCACCCAGGGCAGGTGCAGGGCGCACCATCTGGCTGCACAAAGGCAGGTAGGGGCAGCCAGGTCTGAACCAGGCCTTGCAGGGGAACAGGAGATGGCCTGGCTCTACAGGGAAAGGGATGGGAGGCTCAGCCCTGAAGTGGGGAAGTGGGCATGGCCCAGCCCAAACCCAATCCCAATCCCACCAGTAGAGTAAAGACATGGCCCAGCCCTGATCCAGATGTGGCAGGGGGAAGGTGCATGGCCCAGCCTCAGAGGCACAGCCTAGCTCTGACTGGCTGCTTGGGGTTTGGGAATTAGGCAGGGAAGAGGGTGGTCACCTCAATTGCCACTGCTTCCCTGTCACCAAATGTCTTCATCTGTGGGGAACCCTGTGGGTGAGATGTCATAGCTCCATGGGCTGCATTTGGCCCACGGGCTGGAGGTTGAGTGCTCCTGGTATACTGCCTACCAAAATGGGATCCTGGTCTTCTAGGTACTATGGTTTTATTATGATTTATCTCTTTGTATCATAACAGTTCAGTCAAAAGCGTCAAGCAACTGTATGGAAATGAGAATTGAAAACCAACTATTAAAATTCTGCCGAGTGTTCTCATTTTCACAAGCCAATGCTGTATCAACAAAAATCAAGTGAGGTGAATGATTTACAACTTCTTACCTTAAACTATAATCCACAAAGCATGCAGTGCTGTTTAATTCCCATTGATTTCACGGGAAGGTTGAGCGCAGTCAGCACATTTCAGGATCAGACTGAGGCTTTTGTAGGAGCCAAACTTGGTTTCTACAGAGGAGGTAAGAAGGCAGAGAACACTTCCTCTTTTGTCTTGCTACTATCAGTTCCATAACAGCAGTAACTTAACCACCTCTGCCCCTCCCCCCCAAAAAAGAAAAAAGCCAAACCCACAAAACAAAAACAAACCACCCCACTTCAGCTACAGAATACAGGAACTGTGCGAAGATGATAGATGAGGAACTGGCCACGTGGTATAAGAGACAGCCTGAGATAACCAGTTCAAGTTGAGCTGCATTGTGTTAGAGTTCACAAGTGTCTTTAACCTTTTACCAAAGTTTCTTTTTTGAGCTCTTTCATTTCCAAGTTGGGACAGGGCATGTAGTAGGAAAGTAAAGGAAAAAGAACATAATCTTATGTTTTCCAGGCACATTTCCTCCAGCGGAGGAACTGGTATAGTACTCAGCTGAGGTTCTAGGTGCTGATCCAAAATAAGGATTTTTAGGCTCTTGTATCCTTATCAATGCATGAGTTGGTTCATTATCTAAACTGCAGTCTGATACTACTATTTCTGTTAGAAAGGATTGCACTTCCTGTTAACATCTGGGCTTCTGCAGGGAAGCAGGCAAGAATTTGGAAACTATAGGCTATTAATGATGTATCTATTTTTATGAATATACGCGGATGTTTGCAAACAGAATTACAGGTGGCTTTCCTTTGAGACGGATATCCAACATTTAATATCCTAATCCCATCATGGTGATATTTACAGATAGGAAGTGGTATGTCATTTGAATATAGAGCATTTAAAGCCTAGAACTCGTACACCACTAAAAATGTATATTCATGCTTTGAAAAATGGTCTCAAAACTCATGCTCAAATGGAGATGTGTGAAGAACAGATAAGGCAGGGACAGCTCTTTTTAAAAGGAAAAAGGCACTTCAGAATTGAATTGGGATGAGCTTTTTCATATTCTAAAGCATTCTAGGTTTCTGGCTGTGCTCTTACTTCTGGGGAAAATTATATAGTGGTAGCATACATAATAGGTTTAGCACCTTCCTTGAGACCTGTCTGGTCCCTGTCAACTCTTTAATTCAGGTTTTGCTCTTTAAAGTCATGTTTTCCTCAGAAGGCTTACTGTATTTACTTGCATACCTTGGCTCGCCCCCCTCACTCTGCCAAAATTGTCCTTCAAAATTGAGGTTCATGATTTTAGCAAGGAAGCTGATTTTTGTGCTGGAATGGAGGCATTAGGACTGCTGTCAAGCCTCTTCTCACTTCCCTGCATGCAAGAGGGATGAATTCCCATTCTCAGTGTCACTCAGGGTCACTGAAGCAGTTTTTAGAAATGAAAGACTTGCTTCTACTTCTTCATCCACAGATATTTTGAAAATTCAGCCTCTTGAGAACAGCTTTTATGGCAGAAGCTAGAGGTGTCTTAATGTTAGCACGTACTATACTTTATACTAATGTATAATGTAAAGTTGACTTGTCTGGGGTCTTAAGCTTTGTAAAAATGTCTTGCTATGAACAAGGTTTGAACATATATCTATAGTATTCATTGCAGGAATAGAAATGTTCTTAGTTTTCAGAAATGAAGAACACTTAGGATGAATTTATAAATGAAACTTCAACCCTACTTACGTAAAATACTGTGTTAATAAAAACAATATGCTTTACTTTCTTATTTCCATCGGTCTGAATCATAGAATTATAGAAAATTTTTGGAAGGGACCTCAGGAGGTGATCTAGTCCCAACCCCCTGCTCAAAGCAGGGTTGTCTCCAACTAGATCATCCTAGCCAAGGCTTTGTCTAGCCTGGTCTTAAAAACCTCCAAGGATGGGGATTCCACAACTTCTCTGGATAACCTGTTCCAGTGCTCTCTTATCCTCCTGGTAGAAATTCTTCCTCATATCTAACCTAAACTTTCCTTGCTGCAACTTAAAACAAGGAGCAATGGTTTCATCATTTGCCACCACTGAGAACAGTCTAGCTCCATTCTCTTTGGAACACCCCCCCTTCAGGTAGTTGAAAGCTGCTGTTAAATCTCCCCACCCCACTATTCTCTTCTTCAGACTAAATAAGCCCAGTTCCCTCAGCCTCACCTCATAAGTCATGTCTCCCAGCCCCCTAACCATGTCTGTTGCCCTCCACTGGACCCTCTCCAATTTGTCTGCATCCATTCTGTAGCGGGGGCCCAAAAATAGACACAGTACTCCAGATGTGGCCTCACCAGTGCAGAATAGAGGGAAATAATCACTTTCCTTGATCTGCTGGCAATGCTTCTGCTAATGCAGCCCAGTATGCCATTAGCCTTCTTTGCAACAAGGGCACACTGTTGGTTCATATTCAGCTTATTGTCCACTATAACTCCCAGGTCCTTTTCTGCAGAGCTAGCTGCTTAACCAGTTGGTCCCCGGCCTGTACCAGTGCATGGGATTGTTTTGTTGTAAGTGCAGGACTTTGCCCTTCTCTTTATTGAACCTTATGATATTTGTTTTGGACCAATCCTCCAATTTGTTGAGGTCTCTCTGAATGCTAGCCCTACCCTTCAGCATATCCACTACTCCCCTTCTCCCTCCCTGCTCTGAGCTTGGTGTCATCCGCAAACTTGCTGTGGGTGCACTCCATCCCATCTTCCAGGTTGTTGATGAAGGTACTGAATAAAATAGGCCCCTGGGGCACTGCACATGATACCTGTTATGAACTAGACATTGAGCCATTGATTACTACCCTTTGAGCCCAATGATCCAGACAGTCCATTTTATCCAGCCATACTTCCTTAGCTTGCTTGTGAGAACATTGTGGGAGACCTTATCAAAAGAATTGCTAAAGTCAAGGTATATCATGTTCACTGCTCTCCCCATATCCACAGAGCCAGGCATCTCGTTTTAGAAAGCAATCAGGTTGATCAGGCATGGCTTGCCCTTGGTGAATCCATGTTGACTGTTCCTGATCACCTTCTCAAAGTGCTTAGAAACGGATTCCTTGAGGGCCTGCTCCATGGTTTTTCCATGGGATTAAGGTGAGGCTATCTCATCTGTAGTTCCCTGGATCCTCCTCCTTTCCTTTTCTTAAAGATGGGCACTATGGACACCTATACATGAGCATGGAGACTACTCCAACACGCTGGAATTCCAGCATGTCGGAGCAAACTCGATTAATAACACTCTGGTCAAGAAGAGTGGGGGTGGGGATGGAGGGAGGGGGGAGAGCGCATCTTAGGCCCCATCCTCTGGTCAAAAATAAGTCAGTGTCTGTGGTAGGGACAATGGCAGTATGAAATGGGATGGGGAAAAAGTGTTAGGCGAACAACTATTGACGTTGGAGTTTGATCAAGAAACTTCTACACACTTTTGAAAAGAGCTCTGACTTCTAACTTTCAAAGAGATGATTTTAGAGACCCATACCTTCATAGATTCATAGCTGTTAGGGTCGGAAGGGACCTCAATAGATCATCGAGTCCGACCCCCTGCATAGGCAGGAAAGAGAGGTGGGTCTAGATGAC